TTATTTTGATATATCACAGTGAAAGATTTATCGTCCTCTTTTTTTTTTTTTTTTTTAAAAAAAAAAAAAAAAAAAAAAAAAAAAAAAAAAAAGAGCGCACCGTGATATATTGTGTTCTGCTTTTAACGTTTGTAAGGTACACATTTTAAATCTTGGTTCTCCAGATTGAGAACAGCTGAGTGTCTAATGTCTGTAAATTCCCTTATGGAAATTTTCTAATGGGCAACACACCATGCATCACAAGTTGTGGACAGTAACTGGAGGACAGAATTCTTACATTCCAGTTCCCTGGTGTAAAGCAAACATACCACCATGGCGTTTAAGACGACATCTCACTTCTGGACCAGTGGCATCCAGTTCTTATGTTTTCCCTAGAGAGGTATTTAACATGCTGACTGCCTTTGGTGATGGATACATCCATTAATACAGCATTAAATAGTCTCCGAAAATCTTCCCATTTTAAAACTTTCATCTCAAATGGGTTCAGTGCTGAACTTCTCTGGGGTAGGCCGCCACTTCAAGACTAATGAGGTTAATCTGGTTAAACCCTTCTTTGTTACGGAAATTTCTTGCTTATTGAACACTGTAGCTAGGACTGTACAATGCCCCATGATCTGACTCTTGACTTTCTCTACTGTTTATGACTTTTCTTTGTGATTCAGAGTTCGCTTAGTTTTGTTTTCTATGGACATATCCCACAATTTATTACTTTACAATTTATTACAAATACTTTGAGATGCGTTGGGTAGCACCACCTGGAGAAAAGATTAGTAGGTTGGATTTCTAACTCTTACAGATTTATTCTTTCACACTTAATTTGTTAATGGGTGATCTACAACGAGATTATCATCACTCTATCTGTTGTGTGACATTTCCTGGGAAAAGTGAACAATGTTTATTTACCTCAGAGGGGTACCCACAGCAGACTCAAGAAATTATTCCACCTAAGTGTAGTTCGTGAACTGATGGATTTACTGGGCTTCTTATAGGACCTTTGGTGACACAGAGGCAGCTGTTCCCTTTAGACTCTCCATGCAGCTTCACTGGGGAAACCTCTTCTCACTAACAATTTGTTTTTTGTTTATATAACCTCAGGGAGGGGCCTTGTGAGTCTTGTAACTTTTGTGTGAGTCCTGAGTCTTGGGATCTTTCTTCTTCCCTCTCGGAAGAAAATTCCAGTTGGAGGAAATTCCTATACAACAAATGTCGTATATTACAGAAAAAATTTAGCCGGGCCTGGTAGCCCACGTCTTTAATCCCAGCACTCTGGAGACAGATCTTGATGAGTTCAAAGCCAGCCTGGTCTACATAGTGAGTTCCATCCAGGCCAGCTGGGGGCTACAGGGAGACCCTGTCTCAAAAAAAAATTTTTAAGAACTGGAAATTCACATATTACTATGTACCACAAATTAATACTCAAAAAACTGTGATTGTGTTTTGTTGATATATTAAACTTGAAACTTCAGAATTTCCACTAAGTTAAAATAGACTGTTTCAACAGGCCTGCTAGTAGTTTAAAGTAATACTAGTCTTTACTTGCCATGGAAATATATTTTGTTAGGAACAAAAAAGAAACGTGTGAAAGGGAAATATTCTCAGTCAAGCTATTGAATTGTAATGGAAATTCCCAGGTAGAAACTGGCACAGAGGGATTAGGAAGCTGCTGACTCCCTTCTGATTCTGTAAAATTGTAGTGCCTGAAAGCCGTACAGCAGAGTGCGATTGATGGAAAATATGTAAGTGAAATATATGTGTTCATGCTCCATAAAATTATTTACTTCACTTGAGTAAACATTTAGAACATCATTAAACCCAGAGAGTAATGCTTAATAGTATATTTCTTTGTTCTTTAAATAATGAGAACAAGGCTTAAATGTTAGAAAAAATCAGTATAAAGGGAACATTCTTTTCTGAGTCAAAGAATAAATAAAATCAGTGATTTTTTTATGTTTAGCCATTTGTATTTGTCAAAATGCCTGTATATGTGGCTATTGTATAAAATAATCAAATAAGGGGCTGGAGAGATGGCTCAGCAGTTAAGAGCACTGACTGATTTTGTAGAGGACCTGGGTTTGATTCCCAGCACCCACATGGTGGCTATGAAATGTCCTTAACTCCAGTTCTGGGGGAATCTGAAGCCCTCTTCTGATCTCTGTGGCATTGCATGACACGGGTGTACTCACATACACGCAGGCAATACACTCATATACATAAAATAAAAATAATTTAAAAAATCAAATAAATAGTCATTTTATTCCAACCCAATATACCTCCTTTCTCAGATAGTTGTTTTAAATACAAAGGCATCTCATCATCATCGATTTCTTTTCTTTTATATATATATATATATATATATATATATATAATATATATATGTATGTATTCCGTTTGTTTGTTTTTTTTTTTTTTTGAGACAGGGTCTCCCTTTAGCCCCACCTTCCCGGGAACTCCCTACGTAAACCCGGCTGGCCTTGAACTCACAGAGATCCCCCTGCCTCTGCCTCCCGAGTGCTGGGATTAAAGGCGTGTGCCACCACGCCCAGCTTCTTCTATATTTTTATTGACGTTTTGTCTGTTTCATACAGTAAATCTTCCTCCTCTAAAGGATGAGGCTCCCATGTTTAAATTATGAAACCTCAATAGTGATGGCTGCCATGTTTAGGGTTCTGGGGAAAATAGGTGTATTTCTAAACTTGGGTCAAGTTAGTAGAGTTACACATAATTGTTACAGCACTGTAGACTGTCTTTGAGCTCTATGGATCTAAAGAAAAAAATACTTAGTTCTATGGGTCTAAAGAACAATGATTTGTAGTTTAGGTCAAACTAAACTTTATTTGAATTTATTTCCCTTCTTTAATGAAGCTGATAATCAAATGTCTGTTTTATATTTTTCTTAATAAACTTTGCTATGTTCCTGAATACTGATTCACTACAGTGTATCTTGGCTCCCCCGGCCCCCGACCCCCTTATTAGGTTGTCCAGAAAAAAGCTTTGGATCCAAGTGTAAAAGCCCACTTGGTGGATTTCAGGGATGCATGAGACTTATCTCCATCAGCAACAAAATGGTAGACCTGATTGCAGTCCAGCAGGGGTCCCTTGGCAACTTCAGTGACCTTCAGATAGACTCCTGTGGCATCTCAGACAGGTAAGAGTTCCCTCACATCTTCATGTTGATCTATTCAGACTTTTTGATAACAGATTTAATATATATTCATAGCCATATATTAACATATACTCCCTTTCTACTATCCATTGTACAGGAAATATATTTACATTAGAATAGCGATTGCTTTATGCAACATACTCAATGATAATATTTAGGTACAAGACATAACTGTGCTAATTATATACACACATGCTACCAACCTACAAAGTGCAAGGCTGATATTATAAATTCATTTTCATTTTAGTTTTTGATCATTATGTGTGTATGTATGATGTGTACGTATGTATGTTTTTTGTAAGTATGGGCACACACATGCCATGGCATGCATGTGAAGGTCAGAGGAAAACCTTGAGTGTCTCTTCTCACTCTCTACCTTGTTTGAGACATGCTCTCTTGCTGCTCACCACTGAGTAAGCCAGGCTGTCTGGATCATGAGCTTCTTGGTATTCTCCTGTGGCCCCCCTCTCATCTTGCTGTATAGATCGCTGGGGTTACAGATACACTTTACCAAGTTACATGCGGCTTCATGTGGGATCTGGGAATCCAAACTCAGGTCCTCACACTCGTACAACAAGTGCTTTACCCACTGAGTTGTCTCTCCTGCTCTGCTGTAGTTTTTGATGGGTATAAATGTACCAGAAATATGTCACTAAACTTAATACATTAGGGAACCCAAATAGCAATATTGGCCATCAAGTACCAGTAAACCAGAGACCTAAGTGGTCAGTTATCAAGCTGGCTTTGGCTGGCCTGACAGTTGGATGCTTTCAGGGCCAGAGGAGAAAACCAAGTGCCTATTCTAATGGACACCTTTCACACCTCCTTGCCATCTCTATGCAGGAGCCTGAGGAGGGACACCTCCCTAGGAGTGTTCAAGGCCATTACATTGATCAAGGTGTGAGCACAACCCCATAAGCTCAGTAGGAGCATGGGCACAGGACATGCTGTGGCAAGATTTGGGAGATAATTGTTGAGGATGAATGAACAACTTTTGAAATAATAACTAACAATCGGTAATAATTAAAAACTGTGGGTAGGCTTTGTGTTAGTTACTTTCCTGTGGCTGTATAAAACACCATGACCAAGGGAACTTATAAAAGGAAGAGTTTATTTGAGCTTATGTTTCCAGGGGAATTAGAGTTTGTTGTACTTTTTGGCCAAGATTGCTTTGGCTATCTGGGGTCTTTTGTGATTCCATATGAATTTTAGGATGATGTTTTTCAATCTCTGTGTATTAAGTTACTTTTTCTGTTGCTATAAAACACCATGACCAAGGGAACTTATAAAAGGAAGAGTTTATTTGAGCTTATGTTTCCAGGGGAATTAGAGTTTGTCATGGTGGGGAGGCATGGAGGCAGAGGCAACCGGTACAGAAGGAGGCGCGCTCACATCTTCAAGCAATAACAGGAAGCAGAGAGTGACTAGAAATCTGGCAAACCTTAAGACCTCTCAGAACTTGCCAATGGAGATGCAAGGCCTAAGCAACCGCAGAGAAGAAATCTTACCAAGGCTCCCAATTTTAATTACTGAGCAGAATGGAATGTCACGGCCATTAGAGATTTAAATCCGTATACCAGCCTCTGTCCTAAGCACTTAACATGAATGAGTATTTAAATCAGTCCTCACAAAGTCTTAATAGTATCTGCACCTCAGATACGGGAAATAGGTGCATGGAGAGGTTGAGTTGGCTAAGATGGGATAGCAAAGTAAAGACAGAGCCCAGCCCCAAGGATCAGAAAGTCTGAAATGTGTCTTTTCCTGCCATGCAGGCTCCGTGCATGGATGCACTGATGGAGGTTAATCTTTCATCCATGTATAAGGGGATCATCTAAAGGGTTAATAAACTGCAATTTAAAATAAGCAGAAACATTAAAAAATTGACAGGAACTTAAACAATACAATCTTTTCTAAACATTTTGACTGAGATTGACTTTATTTTAAGTAGGATCAAACTTACCCATAAAGGTGTAAGTCCCAGCACACTGATGGTTACATTTACATGGTGATTCATACATGGTCTCTATACACATATACAGAGTCCTTGCACAGATTCTCTCATACACACATACACACACTCATATGCCCAGTCACTTATCTAAAATGTCCTCACACAACTATTGCACATTCACACGTGCATAAACACATATCCACACCTTCTTGACACCCACACTCACTAAGGTCATTCTCATGGTCCTTCCTTACCCCCAGTCACTCTCATTCTTCCAGTCATCCTCTCCTTATCCTCTGTGGATCTGAAGTGTGGTGGTCCAAAGACCAGGGACTCCAGTGACCAAGGGGCAAGGGCAGGACTATAGGGGCAGCAGATCAAAAGCCCGAGCATGGTGATGGGCACAGTTGGCAGGTGTTGGGATGTAAGTACTTTCTGAGTTGCTTGGACCTAAACCACTTATTAAATGAAACTGTAAAATATGGCCCCTGTTTAGATAGCCCCTGTTTAGAATATCAACTGATTAGGGAAGGTTACTGTCCCACTCCCTGACACCACCTACCATTCATGGAGAAATAACTGCAAATACTTAGTCTCAAATGACACCAGGTTCCAGAGACCCCAGACAAGAACTAGAAGCCTGCTGTGTGGCATTCTCCATCACTGTGGGCTCACTTACAGATCCAGCATCAATATCCTTGCTTCCCCCCACCCCAGCACTTGGAGCTGTTCCCATTTCACCTCCACTGGCCAGTTCCTGGCCCTTCTCCAAGCATTCATTTTACCTAGTTCAAGCCCAGCCTATCCTGTTCCTTTCCATAACTAAGCTTCTACCCATAATCCTCTACTCTCCCTCTCCTCTTCTTCATGGAGCCCCGTATGTCTCAGGTTTGCTCTCATTCTTTCTCCCTGTGTTCCCATGTAGGGCTTATTCTAGGGCATTTGAAGACAGTTATTTTATCTCAAATAGTCCAGAAAGCATAGCTTTTGGGTGAGGGATGAGAGAGTTCTCATCAGTTACAGTTCTGAGGACATGAGATGTATATTCTAATGCTCACCATTATCTTCAGATAGATGGGTAACTTTTCTACATTATAATGTTATTGAGTTAATTTCAATATCACTAATTCCAGTCAAACTTTATACTGTGTGAAAGCTTTTTGAAATTGAAATTGTACTGGGCAGGGAATCAGGCTAAACCAAAATTTTAGCTGTCACTTCAAGTTAGGGTATGCTGATGGATGCATTTGTTCAAGTTCACAAGCAATGAAAACGGTGATGGAAATGTCCAGGAGAAAGATTTAGAAGCTTGAGAAAATGGGTTGATGGATTGTTTTACTTTGTATTGGAATGACTAGCAAAGGAGAAAATGTGAAATACAATTGTTTAGAGAATCTGGTGAAAATGAGCACTTCGCTGTACAACATGAACTGCCCTAGGTTACACCAGCCAAAGAGTTCCATGTGATGAACTTCAGTAAAATTCACAGGTTAGTTTTTCAAATTTTATTTACAAATGTGAAAAGCCTCAGCTGACTGGTGAGAATGAGGAAAAGGGGATCCAGTTAATGTTTGGGAAGCAGATCAAATAACAATAACCTATGTACCACAATAATTAAAGATTCATTATTATTATTGTTATCTTGATTTTAGGCAAGGCTGCTTATATCTGTCTCTTTTTAAAACAGTGTGTTTTAAAGAAAGGCCAGCTCTGTTCTTTTCTGATTTGATTATCAACTAGGATTGCTATCATTTTAATATTTTAAAAATCTCATTTTTTCCAGATTGATATTGATCAGAAATGCTTAAAAATTAAATAAATTATGATAGAGTATCTAAATGAATTCTTGAAAATCTATAAGAATAATAAAATATATATGGAATTTGTGGATACAGAAATATGCATGGTTTAATGTTTGCATCCCCTAGCCAGCAGACTATGATGTAGTGTTGCTTTATGATTGCATTTATGAATATACATAGGTATGATTGTATTGATTCTCTCTATATAGTGAGAGTATAGGTGACCTTTTTATTTTGTCCTGAACTCTTGGTGTATGTACAGTAGACATCTTTTTTTTGAGCAAGAGATAAAATCAATAATGCTATTTTGAGTTAACATTGGAAAAATCCTAGAAGTAAAACATGAGGCTCTCCTCTGCAGTTCTAATGAGTGAGGAAGAAGCTCATCACAGATCTATTCTTTGCAGGTTTTGTAGTTTACTTATTTTTTAATTGAAAATGAAAGTGAACATTGGAAGCCTTGGTATAAATGTATTGTTCATTCTAAATTCTGAAAAGCACCAGCAGTCTGAGAGAGTATTTGAGTCTAAACCAGAAGTTTGCAGATGTCTTTGTTCATAGTGCCTTACCTGTTTTAGGAATACTTCCTTACGGTGCCTTTAAGACAAAAGATATCTCTGACACTTTTATTTAAAAGCTGATGTTAAATTGGGAAGATGGCTCAGTCCATAAAGTGCGGGCTGCACAAACAGGAAGACTCAGGTCCTTGGGTCGTCTGTGAAAAGCCAGGCATGGTGGTGTGCCTCTCTAACCTCAGCACTTGGGTGGAGGGCAAAGACAGACAGATGCCTGGAGCTTGTTAGAAAGTCTAGTCCAGTTGATGACCTTCAGATTCAGTGAGAAACCCTGTGTCAATAAACAAAGGTGAAGACACTTGATGTCACCCCTGGCCTCTATACATGCATGTGTACATGTGCATGTGTGCTTGTATGTATACATGCACACACACACAAACATACATACACCACACAAACATAACACACACACACACACACACACACACACACACACACTTTCTAACTTTTTAATGTGTCAGCATCAGTGGACAGATGCTGCAGGCAGCACTGACACTAGTAGCCTGAAGAATCCCTATCTTAGGGATCTCCACCTGGGCAAAGCTGGATTCTTAACTCTGCCACTGAAAAGAGTTCAGGATGAGTCAGAGTGAGGCAAAGTGAATGAGTTGATTTAGTAGGAGAGAGGGATAGTATGTATACACTTCAGATCTAAGCATTGGTATTTAGAGAGACAGAGACAGAGAGATAAACACAGAGAGATCATATTTAGATGTCATTACACGTGTGTGTGTATGTATGAAAATGTGACTTTCCAAGTTGCATTGCTTAAATAGTATCATGTATAAAAAATTTTTTAAAAATCAAGTTGTTTAAAAATTTAAAAATATACTGGTTTATTAGTTTTTCTTAAATAATTCTTTTTAAAAAATATTTTATTATTTATTTATTTATTTTTATTTTTATGTGTATGTGTGTATTGTGTGCATGTAGGTAAGTGCACCGTGTTGTGCAATGCCTGGGGAGGACATAAGAGGCTGTCGGATCCCCTGGAACTGGAGTTATGGACAGTTGTTAGCTGCTGTGTGGGTGCTGGGATTCAAACCCGGGTCTTCTGCAAGAACAGTCAGTGTTCTTAACCACTGAGCCATCTCTCCAGCCCCCTTAAATAATTCTTTTTTATAAGCGGCCATATCAGGCATATTGTTTAGGATTAGGGAATGCAGAGGAGGAATAATACAGTTAAACTCCAGGACAGATTCTTCATTTGTGATATCTTTATAAAAAAACAAATGCTATCTCTGTACACAAATTTTAAAAAATCACATTTATCTGTGTGTGTTGCTAGTGTGGAGATTAGAGGAGCACATGGTGGAGTCAGTTCTCCTTCCACCATGTGGGTCCTGGGGAGTAACTTAGTTCATCAGGCTTAGCAACAAGTACCTTTACCACTCTGAGCCATTTCACTAGCTCTCTGTATGAAATTTTGTTTCTATCAATTGAGTTGAAGTTCCATGATTCTTAGCCAGCTAGAAACTCAAAATAGATTCCAGGATGTGGAACTACTTTTCCTTTTATGGATCTCATAAATTTTCCTGCCTTTCTGTTCTGCATCAGGTCCAAACAATTTAATAAGGATTTGTTTCCTAGTAATTGACTATCAGTGTGATTAGGCCATGTCTGTTTGCCATATGATGTTTTATGGAAGTTAGTGTGGTTCATATACTTCTTTGGAGACTGGGAATAAGGGTTCTGTCTTTGTATTTGCATCTCAAATGTGTAGTCTTCCAGAAAGGCATTCCTAGGATAGAAAACTGCCAAGAGGGTGGGCAAAGATTTATTCCTCAATGAGAACAAGAAATAATTCATAACTGAAAGTTTCCTGAGAGAAAGTCTCTACAGAAATGCAGGTTAGGGACTATGTTCAATAAGTAACTTCATGAAGATTTATCCAATTCAAGGGGAATTTCAAACTCTAGTCCATGAAGACTATTTGACAGCAGAAGGTCCCCAACTTTTTCTCCCAAGATTCCTTATGTTTCTCAGACATTTCTAACTATGCCCCTAGTTCAAAATTATACCTAACACTTTGATTTAAAAAGTGGTTTCTTGGCGTTCGAAAGATGGCTCAGCAGTTAGAAGCATTGGCAGCTCTTGTAGAGGACCTGGGTTTGGTTTCTAGTACCCACATGGTACATAACAACCTACTGTAAGTCTAGTTCCACAAGTTCTGATGCCCTCTTCTGGCCCCCACAGGCATTGCATGCACATGGTGCACATACAGACAAAACACATGCAGGCAAAACACTACTACACAAAAAATAAAAATAAATCCTAAAATATGTTCTAGCAACTTAGTAACCCTTTGAGAAAATAATCATAGTCTAGACAGCTAAGGTGCAACCTGACACCAACAGGCAATAAAATTGTACCATATTTTACAAATATTTTGTATTTATTATTTTCATGGAGTTATGCACAATTGTTAGCTGCCATGTAGGTGCTGGGAATCAAACCTAGGTCCTCTGCAAGAGCAGTCAATGCTCTTAACCACTGAATTCTATCTCCAGCCCCCAAACTGTACCATATTTGAAGATCATGCTAGATGAGTAGATATTGTATCTTTGACACAAACACAAGCAACAGAAACTTTAAGAATCTGGGGACTGGAGAGACAGATAAGTAGTTAAGAGTTAGGAGTGCACTGGGCTCTTGCAGAGGACAGGCATTCAGTTCCCAGAACCCACATTAGGTGGCTCACAGCTGCTTGTAACTTTAGCTCTCTGGGGCCAACATTGTCTTCTGGCCTTCACAGGCATCTACAATCACATATGCACAAACGCACATGGACACACACATATACATATAATTAAAAATAGAATATACCTTTAAAAATTAATTAGCTATGTGATATGGTACATAAGTTAATTTGCTTCATTATATGAATCTTTTAATTATCCACAACATGATGCTGTTTTCTATTAATGTCCAACAAATTTTCTTCCTTTAAGAAAAGTAAAATGAAATATATAAGTTGAAAAAGTGTAATTACATATAGTTGTTTACTCATTGGACTGTGTACCTGTTTGGGCATTGCACCACTTTTTAAAGCCTGGACTCAGATCAGACATGGCTATGCTCTATTAGGCTATTTCTTTGTTCCGTGTTGATTTCACATGGTACTTGATTTTTGAAAATCAATTATTCAGAATCTAGCTTCTCAAACACAGGTGGTGATTAAAAGGAATGTATTATGATTTAATGTTGGAACCTAGCCACCTCGAGCCGGTAAGTCCCTCTGTGCTTCACAGACGTTCAGTGGGCCAGTTAATGTCTCTTGAGAATTTAAAATAACCAGGAAGCCCCTGTGATATGGGTTCAGCACCATCGAACAGCCCAACACAGCTTGGCGTTTATGAGTTTGAACAGAGCATCCTTCTACATTCCAAATCTTCAGATGGAGTGGAAAAGATGCCATCCTCTCTTCCTTCCCTCTTTCCATCCCTTTTCCTCATTCCACCTTCCTTTGAATGTCAAAGCAACATCACACATGAGCACGATGAAATGTTATTTCTTGTCAGCTGTTGATATTTCTGGCTGGTATTGACTTCACATCATGTCACTTAGAGAACGTAAAGAACCGTGATATATAGAGAGACATGTTGAAGAGTAAGCAGTCAGGGCTGCTTGAGAACTGGCTGCAGCCAAATGAATGTAATGTCTCAAGGCTTAGTTCTGTGATTAAAGTACCCCAGCACCAGGCTGCATAACTGTTAGCCATGGTGAAATTTGCCCTTCCTGTTGTGGTCCACACCGCTCTTTCACATAACCATCTGTGAATGACGGATTGCTCTATGGTATCTCACAGTGATAAATGGTGGTTGTTTCTTCTCTTTCTTTTAGGTGTTTGCCCAACTACTGTGAGCACGGGGGCGAGTGCTCTCAGTCCTGGAGCAACTTTCACTGTAACTGCACAAACACTGGATACACAGGTGCTACCTGTCATAGCTGTAAGCCAGAGACCCACTTGCTCTTCCCCACTTCGCTCCCTATGTACCGATTTCTCTGTGTCTGTGTGCACATGTGACCCTGTGTGACCTTGCGTTGGAATATGCAGCCCTGGATTTTAGCCTTCAATGTCTAGTTTAGTTTTAATCCACACCTTGTTACATAAAGTAATCGAGCTAGAAATACATCAGATGAAACAGGGACAAAGAGGGTCATATAATGGGCAAAGAAAAAAGGGTAGCTAATGACAAAAATAAATAATAAAATGCAAGACTGCATGAGCAGCTTCTGCTGCCAAACTGGCCAGCATTTGACCCTGGACCTTCTAGAAGTATAGTGCAGATAGCAGTAGAATCTGTTACCAGATTCTTACCGCTGGTTCGATTCAATGAAGAGATTCTCTGAAACAGTTTTGCATGGGCCAAGGTGGGCTGGTGTAGGCTGGGGTGGGTGGGAGTGGACTGTGGTATGGGGACTCACATGTTGAATACAGCCTAGAGAGTGATAATCCATTTGGACATTTTGAAGTGACTGGCTTGCTTAGATATAATATAAATTTGTTTTTCACAGTTTGGGCCATAGATTTGATGTCTGATGAGGGTCTGGATTCTAGTTTGTATATTGTAATCTTCTCCTTGTGTTCTCACATAACAGTAAGAGTGACACATTTCTCTGGGCACTGTTACCTTTCACAAATGCTCCAGTCATGACCTAATCATCCTCAAAATCCCTCCATCACAAAACCATCATGACAAGAATTAATCTTCTGTATTTGAATTTGCATGAGCCACAATATTCAGTCTGAACCTCTAAATCATACTCAAACTCTCTTTCAGTCCTGTCTAATGAGGTTGATGGTGGTTAAGTGAGATAAGCAATTATTATATTAATCATAAAAGTTAACTTCATTGAGTACTTTCTAAGTCCCAAGTACAGACTAGGTATTTTTTACATGCTAGTTAATTTGATTCTGAAGAGTGCCCTCCTAGTTAAGTACTCTCATTATCCTTAGTTAACTCATGAGGTAATTCAGAGATCTTAATAAACTTGTCCAAGGTTACTTATATACTGGAGGCAGACTGTGGATGCCTCAGAGCCTGGGTCCATAACCAACATCTTTTACCTATATTATAAGCCGTGTATTTTTTTCTGATGAAATGTTGGCTTTTGCTATAAGACTCATGTCATATTTATGATCCACTTACTTGTTCAATACACATAATAAATGACCAAAATGCCCGTTTCTTCCACCTCCTTGAGTGGAGGAAAAACACTACTTGAGTAGTGTTTCATACATCTACTCAAATTCTGAACAACCTAACTCCTATCACCATCTTCCATAGCTTTTACTTAAACCAAGAGAGTTTGCCATGAAGTCGGCTGTCTCACCCCACTGGATGGGTCTATGACACTGCTTGTTGCTTTGTGTCCCTTCTTGAGTGGAGATTGGAATCCTAGGCTTTCAGCCCTGGATACTCCACAGAAGATCCCAAGAAGCCTCAATTCAAGGATAGAAAGAATATGGCTAGTGAGACTTCCTAGTCCTATTGGTACCTCGAGAGTCATAATGGTGCCAGTGATATGTGTTGTCAAGTCTTTTGAGACTCTACAAAGAATGCTCACTGGAGATCTAAGCCTCTCACCTTGTCACCGGAGGCCTAATTACTCAACCAGTGCACCCAGCTAGTGGGGGAACAGTATATTTTAATATTCTATAACCTCTGTCATATTTGTTAAAATAACTAGCTCAAACCCAAAAGCTGTTAAATGCATTGTAATTGACTCTGCATGTTTTATTGTTATCAATAACTGAATCTAAATATAAATACAAACAGCTCTGAGGAGAAAGTTGAATAGGAAATAAAAGGTATTTTGACACATGGCTTATCCTTTCATTAAAAAATTAATAGATGAGAGTCTCAAGCAGTTTGCCCAAATAGAGCTAAATGATTTTCATCAATAACATTCTGAGAAATGAGGTCAGAATGACATAGTCTGGTTGTTGTGGAGAGGCAAAGACAGGATCTTCTAAAAGGTTTTAGTCAAATCTCAGCAGTTAGGAGACTAAGGCAAGAGCATCATGTCTTTCATACCAGACTGGGCTAGTGAGACCTTGTTTTGAAAAAGATCAAAGGTTTTATGAGGAAATAGTACATCAAACAGTCATATTACAATGATCACTCAGTGTACGTTAAAGCAAAAGAATTTCCAGGTGTTCTTATCCATTCATGTGTGTTTTCCAGAGTCCATCACAATCCCAAAATTATGTGTGTATCTCTGGCAATCTCTTTCAGGGCCTTTATGACCATATGTATGTGCTCCAAGAAATGGATAAACTAACAATTTTACATGCCCACTTTAGTGCACAAAGCAAATGTAACTAGAAACCAATGCATACTTATGTCTCCATCTATTAATTTAAATAAGAATGAATAAAACCATCAAATTGTAGAGATGTGTAGAAGCAAATGTCAATGATTTTCTGAAAATTTAGTAACATTGAACAAATTAGCCACAATGTTTCATGTTGCCTAAACATTCATTAACATAATTTTCAAAAATTTAAAATAGATTCAGGAAAGGATATCCGGGTTTTTTTTTTTATTTCAAATTCTACAGAATAAAAAGCTTAATGGAAATTATTGGTACATTTGGCCAAGCATTCAATGAGAAATGTGCATTACACAGATGTTAATATCAAACCTTGTGCATGGCAAATATATAGCTGTATAATAAAAAATTCAATTATGGATCAAAGCACATTGAGACCACTTGGGGGAATATTTCATATAAATATTTATTCTGCTTTGAATCTTAATGATGGTGAATGCTCATTATAGATCACTAAAGAAAGTTTTTTTTTGTAATTATTTTTAAAACTATAGATGAGGAGCTTGGTGAGTCAATTTCTTCTTTGAAAAAAATGTTTACCTGTAGTTAACTTGATCTAAGACAGCAGTACAGTTTCAATATAATTTGAAATGATCTTATGACATAAGTATTGGACAACAGCCAATTAGTTAAAAAGATTACACTGGCATACTTTAAGATGCTAGGGTATTACAAGGTAATACTAGAATTAGATATTCTGAAATGGTGTCATGAGATACTTAAAGGGCTTGAACTTTTAAATACCTAACTTCTCTGTCCTTATTCTTCTTAACATAAAAAAATCAATGAAATTTTCATTTTGATGCGAAAAATAATCTCCTTTTCCTTTAGTGATAAAAAAATCATAAAATACGACCTCATCGTTTTTATATTATCCCTTTCATCCATATTAATTTGAAGAGAAAAGGAGAATGAATTTTGTTGTAAAATGTGATATTGTTCTCTTAGCTTAGTGATGCACATCGATTTAAGATTTGGGGTATATTTTAAATCTGATAAAACTTAAGGAATTTGTTTCATGCTATTTCATTTATGATGGTCCTTTTTTCCCCTCTCTCAGCTCTCTATGAGCAGTCATGTGAAGCCTATAAACACCAAGGAAATACTTCAGGATTTTACTATGTAGATGCAGATGGAAGTGGTCCTCTGCGACCCGTTCTCCTGTATTGTAACATGACTGGTGAGTTAACCCATTTGCTTTCACTGCATGAATGGATTACTATACAAACAAAATGGAAAAAGTAGAAGCTGATCTTATTTGTAACAGGATTAAAATGGGTATTTGTTTAGTTTTGTTTCTGTTGCTGTCATAAAACAGCCTGGAAAAGGCAATTTAGGGGAGGAAGGGTTTATTTTAGCTTGCAGTTCTAGATTTCGGTTCATCATTGTGGGGAAATCACTGTGCTAGGAGTCTGAGGCAGCTGGTCCCACCCCATCCACAGTCAAAAGCAGAGATAATGAATGCATGCTTGGCACTCAGCTGCTTTTTCTACTCTTACACAATCCAGGGAAGAGTTCTACTCACAGTGGGCTGGATATTCCCCCAAGACAACCCCCTATAGACAGGGCCACAGAGCAAACAGATCTAGACATTCCATCACTGAGACTCTCTTCCCAGAGAGTCTAGATTGTGAAGTCGACAATTAAAACTAACCATCACTGAATTGTTTAGTAAAAAGAGAACATAAATATTTAACAAATTTGTTAGTTAAATGTTAATGATTTATAATAGTGTCAGTTTCTGTGCATATGGTAACTGGATAGTATATCTAATTTAAAAAGTTTCCCACTGTGTCTCAAAACACAAAAATGTTAGATGCACTTGAAAGCTTTGAAAAAGATTCATTGTTAAATGGATGTGAGCATAAATTTTATTTATTTTCTAAAATTTTTGTTCTACATACATTTAAATAGGAATTAATTCAGGGAAAGTATGTTTAATTAAATTCAATATCTGCTCATAATAGGAAAAGAACAAGAATACCCACAAAAAACTTAGAATAACATACATAACAGTTTACGGTAAATGGTGAAGGCTTTTCCCCTCTTTCCAGCACAAATACAAATATGTTCACATTTGCTTGGGAGGGCTTAGTCAATAAAACCAAATAGGAAAAAAGTCTAAATATGGGAAAATATCACCTACACTTTTCATTATTTATTGATGATTAGATTATATATTAAGAACTTTCTGAGAAATCTACAGTAAATTATCCAATGATTATCAATGGACCCCCAAATTAACACAAAATTAAGTTTATTTCTATAACTCAGCAATAAGCAATTAGAAAATGACCTTTTGGAGATCGTATTTCCAACAGCCTCAAAACTCTCAAACATCTGGCAATAAATGTAATAGAAGATATGCAGAACTAAACTCCTAAGGGTGTGGAAGAACATAAAATTTTCATTAATTAAGAGACTCAACGTTGTAAAATGTCAGTTCTTTCAAGACTGATATTGATTTTTAGCAGAAACTTAAAATTCTGCAGGGGCGGGGTTTGTTGTAGGGTGCTTTTGGTGAGAAGGGATAAGCAGATTCTAAAATTTGTAAGCAAGTTGGAGAGGATCAGAAACAAGTCGCTCTCGAACAGAGTTGAAGGACTTGGTTTTATCAGATACAAACACACCAATGAAACAAAATAGAGACCTTACCGGCAGATTCTCTCATCTGTAGCCAGTTGAGGTTTGATCAGGTCATGCTGATGAACAGTGAGAGAAGATGGTCTTTTCAAACAGTGATATTGAGGGAAATTGTACATAAATGTCAAAAAAGGAGCACTGATCTCTTCATCAACAAACACAAGATGAATCCTAGGTGAACTTTTCTCTCTAATATGGTAGCCACTATCAACAGGTACTATTTAAATACTCCTTGAATTAATTTGGATTAATCCAGAAGTTCAATGAATTTAAATACATTTTAACGGTGCAAACAAATATCAGTAATTTAACTTAAACCAGATATAATTACTAGCCAGATTTTAGCCACTCTGTCACCTCCTGTGGCTAGTAAGGAACATACTGATGATCATAGTGGCATTTCCATCAGGGCAGGAAGTTACATTGGACAGTGCTGTGGTAGAACACTCAGGTTTATGGAGCAAAACGAAAGGACAAGTATAGAGTTGAGGCAGACTGTGATAGAAGAAGATTTGCTATGGAAGGGAGCAGTGGATATTTGAAGAGAAACTTCTAGACAGAAGCATCGCCCATCCCAAAGACCGAGACTTCCAGGCATACTTAGAAAACCAAAAATTCCAGGGTGGCTGGAGTGTAGAGGTTACTGGAGCATAAAAAAGATGAGGAGAGAATCAGCTAGAGGGAGTAGAAAAGGAAGAGTCATGGGGTCCAGGAAGCACCTTCAGGTCTCTGGGGATTGCTCTGAGTGAGATGAGAAGACTTGGAAAGTTTGGAGCAATAGTCCTATTCAGTTGAACCTCCTTTGATAGGACCAGTGCCGCTCTTACAGTAGGAAATGCTTGTCCTGGAGCAAGGGTAGAATACAGTGTATGGATACAGAGTAGGTGTCAGGAGACCTTTTAGGAAGCACAGAAATCCAGCAATGAGGTGATGAAGGTGCTTCTGACCACCAACATTACCAATGTATCTGAGGAGAGGTTAGCGTTGTGCATCAAATGCCTGTGAGCTGTGAGAAAACAGAAAGAACCCCATAACACTGAAATCTTTGACTTAGACAACCAACATATTTGAAGCGCATTGTTGGAGACTGGAATCAGAAAAGGTTTGAGGGGTGAACATTAACAACAATCTTTAACACACCTTGAATTTAAGATGTCTGTTACATAATCAACCAACATGCTCAGGTATCAGCTGGATAGGGGACAACAGTTTTATACTAATGCATATTTTTCTTTTTAAGACAGGGTCTCCCTGTAGCCCCAGCTGCCTGCCTCTGCCTCTTGAGTGCTGGGGTTAAAGGGCATGCGTCACCACATCTGGCCTTAAGTATAATTCTGAGAACTGCAGGATGGTGGTAAAACCTGAGCTATTGATTTTGTGGGGCTGGTGGAGAGCTAGAAGAAATTACTGTAAAATATATTGTTAGAGACTTTTCCATAATACAGCTATGCAGCTTCATTAATTTGAGGAAACTGCCATATAAACCAAACCAACATAAAACATGCTAAGGGTATTCATGTACTCACATGAAGCTCTTTCATATAGCTCTACAGTCTGCATAATGCACATTATCAGGTGGTGACCAGGAGTTTCTGACTGAGAGGTGAGGGTAGGTCACAGAACCAATGTGTTAGCCTTCCCAGACAGTTCTTAGTGATACACAGGTTTGGAATTGCTGTTTTAGACTTAATTCTCAAACTTCCATATGCATCAATTGGTTATTGAGAATTAATCATAAATGTGAAAAGCTCTCACAGAGAACAAAGGAAAACTCTATCCATATGAGATAAGAATTTGAATGTCAATATAATATAGTTTGGGTAGGTTGAATTTTAATGTTTTATATCACTGCAAACCTGTGAGTTCTGTGTTTTCAAAAATTCATCAAGAGCTGTTCACCTGCATGTTATCTAAAGAAGTGATTCTAAAAAGCAGATCTAAGTTAATAAATACTTCTTGTCTTTGAGGCTTTAAGAAACATTACACTTCCACCGCCCACACCACACAGACACACACACAGACACGCACACACACACACACACACACACACACAGACACACACGAGTCAGTTCTTGATTTGTGATAATTATGTTCCAGAAAGTAAGCATGAATATTGGATTAAAAATGCTGAATTACTGACAGTGATGAAATTGTTCAGTGGTTAAGAGCACTTGCTGCTCTTCGCAGAGGACTGGGTTCAGTTCCCAGTCCCCACATGGCAGTTAATAATCATTATAACTCCAGTTTCAGGGGATCCAGTGTCCTCTCTCTGCCCTCTGTGGGTATTGTATGACATGGGTGAACTTAAATCATGCAGGCAAAACACTCATACACATAAAATAAAAATAAATAAATGATTTCTCCTGGGGGGGATATAGTAGGATAGGTTCTTGGGAGCTTCTAGTGACAGCATTCTCCTCAGTGGATCAGTACATGATCTTGTTTTATATGTGCTGTAGGTTAAAGAGATTACATACACACACACACACACACACACACACCACATACACACACACACACGCACACACGCACATGCACATCTGAGATTTATTAACACTGAAATCATGTCTAACAGCACTGGAACTCATGCCTGGACAGTTATTTTCTAACCTGTTTTCTGTCCACATTATGAACTGAGCTTAGAGATACTCACCAGCACCTTAGTAGTATTAGGGTTCTATTTTAAACAGCATCATCATCAACCAGAGAAAAAGAGAAACATGTAGTGTAGACCACAAATAGGACATTCGTTTTCAATATGAGAACTGAAACAGGAATCACAGAGTACCTATTTCTTCAACTTTCGTTAAGAATGTGTATATTGGGTACTCAGAGTGCTGCTGCATATCTGGAAACGACTGCAAAAGTGTTGGGGTTGCAAATAAGTTCATATCAAGTAGGTGAATTCACAAATAATGAGAATCTCTAAATGACAGGATCAACTATCTCATGTTACTATGAATAATGATTCGGGCGTGTAACACAATGTGAAAATTCCTGAGTTATTACTCTCAAATGTTAAGGACAAAGGTTTTGAGTTTTCAAATGAGGAGGCCAAGACTCAGCAAGTGTCAGTGTGGTGGCCCGGTGGCATCAGATGGAACAGGTTGAGAACTAAAACCTTGGTCGCTTTTCTCACAGCCTGAAGCTTTTCCCACCTTTGATCACAGTCCTACTGCTCTTCTTCTAGCTAAATCAGGGATAATAGTTATGAACCCAAGGCTCCACGCTGAATCAGGAACTTGCAAATATGTGACTTAAAAAAATAACCTAAGTTTGGAATCAGTATTAATGAGGCTAAGTGGAGTCAAATAACTCTAAGCTGAAGGACATTGCAAACAAATAAAATTTTCATTTTGAATGGATAATTTCTTAATCATCATTTCTTTGTCAACAAGGTTACCCTAAATTTAACTTAGAGGTACAATGAGATGAATCCTTGTTTGGCAGAAAGCAGTTTTATTCCACTATTATGAAATAGTTTTGTGTTCAAGAAGTTTCCCTTTCTTTAATATTACATTGCTGAGGATTGCTTTA